CTGCCTCAGTAGATGATTGGTGTTTACATCCACAGCAGCAGTGATACCCTCCCTTGGCTTCTGTCTAGGGAGGGTATCATTAACTCATCATAGGAAGTCTTTGCTTATGGCATAATAAAACACATCTGAATTACGAGTCCGTTTTTGGCGCGATTGAACTACAACTTTACTTTGTTTCGCTCCAGTGCTCGCATTCCCCGCCTATCTGCTGGGCATCGACCCCAACCGTCTGCAGGACAAGCTGACCAGCCGGAAGATGGATTCAAAGTGGGGAGGGAAGTCCGAGTCCATTAACGTGACCCTGAACCAGGAGCAGGCCAACTACACGCGAGACGCCCTGGCCAAAGCGCTGTATGCACGCCTCTTTGACTACCTGGTGGAGGTAATCACGCTGGATGATGCAGCCGAGCAAAAACAGACTAAAGAAAATGAAACATTTGCTTTTAATTCAGCTGACGTGTATTCACGCTCCTCATCTGCTCTTTGCATTTGTCTCTTACTCCTCCAGTCTATAAATAAAGCCATCCAGAAACCATATGAGGAATTCAGCATCGGAGTGCTTGACATTTATGGCTTTGAGATATTCCAGGTTAGGCTTCTCATAACTTCCAGATACTTAACCTTTGCACGCATCCACTAAAAGACTAAATGTGTGTTTAATAGCAGGATTTGTGTTGTATTCGCTTCCTCAGAGAAACGGTTTTGAGCAGTTTTGCATCAACTTTGTCAACGAGAAACTGCAACAGATCTTCATCGAACTCACCCTGAAGGCTGAGCAGGTAACTATAAATAAATGAATATATATAAATAAAACTATATAAATAGAATTGAGTTGTAACTGCACTGTGCAGCGCATGCATTTGAGGACTGGATTGTTCCTTCACTGTTTGTCCTCAAACTAAATGTTTTGCTCTCATTGTCTCTCAGGAAGAATATGTTCAGGAGGGCATCAAGTGGACGCCCATCGAGTACTTCAACAACAAGATCGTGTGCGACCTTATTGAAAATAAACTGGTGAGCTCATAAACGCGACGACTGACGGAGGGTTTATGCAGATCGTGTAAAATTGGCTCTGATTAGAAAACCAGTGGGCCCCTAAAGCAGCGAGTTTGGTGCTCTGCTTCCTGAAAACAGTGAAACTAAGAACAGAGCGCTCGGGGTCACAACAGGAAGAATCAAGTCACATGACTGAGATATAGCAGTAAGATCGGGGGTAACATTTGCATTTTGTTTTTGGAAAAGCTTTATTGCACATTTATTTTCACAGTAAATCAGATAATATATGATATTCCCAAAAGCCAAAAAGGGAAGAAGAAAATAGTCATAAGAGGCATCGGTGGAGGAGCTGCAGTTTTATCTCCTCGTATGAATTTGTGTGTTTGAAGTGTTTGACTGGATGACTAAAAAATGGGGATTTACATGCGGTCTAAAGACATCAGACATCAATGAAACTACTGTATAAAAGTAACTTTATATAAGTTATTATATATATATTATATAAGTTTTATTGTGGTCTTTAAAGCTCATATTAAAGCTCTACACGTGTTTTCTGGGAACCTCTAATTGGGTTGCTGCCTTCTTATCTATGTTCCCTGCTTGTAATGAAACATGCTGGTCGGTATTCTCTTCGTCCG